ATAGCCAAAAGGAATGGCATTTTTCCATTTTATCAATCCATTCATTCACCATTTGCTAGCCATTTTTCATTTCCAAAATATTTTTCCTACATTTCTCTATCTTTCAATTTTCCAAAACCATTTTTTCAGAACCATTTAAAAACCATTTTTGTTAGAAAATACTTTTTAAATGGTAAATTTACATCATTTTATCTCCATTGTACATTGATGGTCAAAGCAGAATTATAAGATTACTAACTTCTTGGAGGATGATTATTTGACAGTTTTAATGTTTCTAATATTCGGGCAGTGGTGCAGAAGAAAAACACATTTACCATCACTGAAAGGGTAATTTCTTTAATTTGAGAAGTATAAGTATAAATATGTACATATTTTTATTAATGTCAACAACAGTTAAATGCTTTTTTTCTAAAGAAAACACATTAGGAGTGTCCACTGATTATATTGATGCAATATTTAATTTATAAACCAATCTCAGTTAAAACTTAATTAGACTGAGGGACACTACATAATTACAAATTCTTTTTTTTTTTTAAATTTATTTATGTAATAACAAATTCTTATTAAGTTCAATTATAGCTCTCTTGTAACTATTTTCTTGCTCAATTTTCTCAGGTAAATGGTTAAATTTCTTCAGCAATCTGTTCAACCAATTAAGTCATGGATGAATGATAGTGAATACAAGCAGGGCAATACTTGTACATGTATACTTAAATTGTTTATGAAGACAAACCTTTATTCTCATAAAAGTTATTCGATTTATGCTACACGAGTAATGATCAGCTGCAGTAGTGAAAAAAATGTGACAAAGCATTTTTCTGTTCTTTTAAATTCTCATTATGCAATTTCTTTTATTTTTAGAATACGTACTGCTTGCATTGGAACACCAAAATGAACGTGGAAACTGTAAATTGTCAAAGATGCAGACTACGATTTTTCAGATCGAATTAGGAGAATCCATCAAAATTTCTAAAAAATCAAAACCAAGTTTGTGAAAACATGGAAGAAGTGATCCTTGTTTCATGACTGACTCTACTACCAAGAAGATGGTTTTTCAAAGTGCTTACTCTGTGGATACCGAGAACCCAGCTTTTTTCATTTTTCAATTATTGTAAAATTTAAAGACGTATCTAAGTATAATAATGTACATCTCATTCATATCTTAAAAGTTCAATTAAATTTACTAGCAATAAAGAAAAAATTAACCAAGGGATTTATGAAATGTGAAGATAACAAACAGATATCATGCTCAAAGGCCAATTAAACTGTACAAATTGTGAGCAAAGCAAACACAAAACTCTAAAAACAGAGTTAGGATCAGGTGAAATGGAGGAGAGAGAATCATAAAGTAATCAAAAATCATTTTAATTACCAGACTTTTTCAGAGTAATTGATTAAATTACGATTACTTGTATTAAAAAAACCGGATGATAACTGATGACGCATGATTACACCGCAAACTGTAATCGATTACAGCTGATTACGATTACACCATCCCTGGTACATTGTATATACATGTAATATCATTGTGGTAAAATATTTACAAGTGGACTGGAATAACTTTATTAAAGCCCACTCAAAATGAATGGCCAGTATATGATATTTAAATATAACCATGGTATGAGTGAACACAACGTAATTTTCAATGATGTTCTGTTCAACAGTTTCGGACATCTGCGCATGCAACTCACACATGCCAACAAAGACCCTTTTTAGGTTCTTAATTGTTACAGTAAATGTAGCTCTTTTGATCACCTTTTCGACCACTATAATGATACTATAATAATATTATTTCAATTAAAATCTCTATGATTGCATAAACAATTCTATAGTTGTAATAAACATGTCTTTATATTCTTTCCTTATTTAATGCCAGTGATCGTGTGTCTAGAACACACATGTGAATATATACTTTTTTTTAACACTATCTCCGCACCTGTTTGAATCATGACTTCTTTTTTTTTTTAACTTTACCAGAGACGTTATAAGAAATTATACGTCTCTTTTTTTTTTAACCATATATTATTTTATTTACTGTCGTGTGTGAGAAGAAGGGAAAAGACATAAATAAATCACAAATTATTGATAATATTTATTTAGATATTAACTATTAGATAAGGAATACTGGTTCCTGTTTGATTTTATATCAGCCCCCCCCCCCTTTCCCCCCAAAAAACCTTGATACAAGATTTTCCGTTTTTGCAATACCCTTGAAAATATGCTGGGAAACCAGACTTCATGAGATTTTTCAAACACTTTTCAAGAATGAAAATTTCTGAGGCTGAAAACACGATCTATAATTAAACGTTATACTTTTCTTCTTTTTTAAATTAATTAATTGTATTTTATTTTTTATTTTCATTCTTTTTTATTTTTTAGGTAACCTGAGATGAAAGCTCAAGTGGGCTTTTCACGTTTTCGACTTCTTCTGAAGAACCACTGTGCCAATTTTAATCGAAGTTGGTACAAATTATCAAGTCCCTGTCCCACTAAGGGTATGGAGGGGCCACAATAGGAGATCAGCTTTACATTGAAATATATAGGGAAAAAATGTTTAAAACTCCTTTCCTCAAGAACAGCAAAGCCATGATGAATTATACTAATTTGAAAGCATCCTCAGGTGGTGTAGATTCATTTTTTGGGGGTGGGGGGTGGTGGAATTTTGAACCCTGCAGGTAGGGTGGGGTCACGATATAGAATCAAAGTTTTACATACGACGAAAATATTTTAAAAACCCTCTCAAGAACAGAAAAGCTATGATTAATCCTATTTATATGGAAGCATCCTCTGGTTGTGGATGTAGGGTGGAGCCACAAAAAATTGTACAAAAGAATACAAGTATCTATAGGAAAAACTGTTATTGGAGAACAGGCCAAGTGACTCAGGTGATTGTTGTGGCCCATAGGCCTCTTTTTTTAAAAAAAATATTTTATTTATTTATTTTTGAGAATATAAAAAATAAAGAAACAAATACAGAATAGGGGGATTAGTGATCAAAAAAGTATTATGCTTATTTTGATGAATATTTACGACTCCCTATATAGTCCCTTGCAAAATTCGGTAGTTATACAGCTGAGTACGCCTCAGCAGAACACAGTCTTAAGAAAAACGATCGAATCGTTCTTCTCTTGGTCTTAGACGATATTTAAGGCAAACACGTATGTCTTCTTCATCAACCTTCATTCACTTCTTTGTTGGTGCAGTTGATCCGAATTGTCTCTATAAAGTAGTCAAAATCATAGAAACTATTTCATAAATTGTGCCCCCTCTCTTGTTTTCCAAGCTGTATACCGAATAACTGATTGACGGCAATTACAAAAATATGGATATATTGATTTAATATCTGGAATTATCCATCATCATAGGAAATTGTACCTTTTATTTGTTCTGATTTCGAAATCAGCGTACGGTTCATAAATGCAAGAGTTGCTGTTATTTGTTTGGTTAAGAGTTAACTGCCCTTAGTTTTGAAAATTCCGGTAGGTGGCAAGACCGCTATCCTCTGTTTTCAGAGGATAAAATCTATCCTCCAAAAACAGAGGCCGCCTAGACCTGATAAAAGACAATCAGAAATGTTTTATAGGCCTTACGTTATATAATTATTTCTTTTAATAATCATCAAATGAAAGAAAAGAATTTAAATATGCATCTACAAAAACCTTCATTCACTTCTTTGTTGGTGCAGTTGATCCGAATTGTCTCTATTAAATGTTTTATAGGCCTTACGTTATATAATTATTTCTTTTAATAATCATCAAATGAAAGAAAAGAATTTAAATATGCATCTACAAAAAAATTGTGAATCTTTTTTGGCTAAAATAGTTTATTCTATTCATTCAAAGTTCTCCGTCGCCGACAGAATCTTAACAGCTCCAAACTATTTTTCTAAACACTGCTTAATGACTGCTCCCCAATATTTACACGTCGCCATGATACAACAAAGCGTGGTCGAGGAGCAATAGGTGATTAGTGCATTCCATTGGGCATACGACGACGAACAAATCAGGTTAGTGGTTTCTCGAATATGATTTTGTTTTTATTTTTATTTAATATATGTGTTCATACATTACAATACAGTGTAAACTTGTTCCATATTTAAGCAATCTTTAAACACATTTAGGGCTGAAGCTTGTTTTAGAATCAGCTGATTTTTAATAATGGCCTTTCATAATCTGAAAAAATATATGATAAATTAACAAAACAAAAAAATGCGAGTCTTTATTTTTTTGAAACAGTAAACGAAAAGTACATATATGGAAGAATGATACATGCTAGCTTGTACACAATATTATATTATACATCTGGATAAAATGTAATTTGTTCATCCAATATATATCAAAATATTTCAATTTTTTGTAGTCCGAATTTATTAGAAAATTTTTTTAGCGTTTGTAATTATAATGAGTTTAAATCTACAGATTTTACATGTATATGTAAATATAATCTAATTGCTTTGATTTCTGATCATTTTAATATATATTAAAGTGATTTTAATGTCTGAATTTTTATCACTAAAACAAATAAAGTGATATAATCCTTAATACAACAATGCTCGCTTTTTAAAACAAAGAAAACACTAATTAAATAAAGTGACAACTTAATTAAACTGATTGTTTAAGAATTTTATTAAATGGAAATTAGGTTAATTGTTTAAATATAAATGTATAACACATAATAAATGTTCTGTTCTGTGTCTGTTCATGCTTTGGTTAGAGTATTTATTCAAACAGCCCAGGTCATTAACATTAATCAAGTTATTTTAACAATCAGATGAATTTGAAGCTAACTAGTTAAATGCACAGGAAATGCCTGAATTCAGATAAGGGAAAGAAAAAAATTCCAGTGAATGCAATCAATGTTTTTATAGAGGTTGATTTTTCCATATCCCATTACCTCAGTCTGATTTTGTATGATTTCTGTTTACTCAATGTCTGCATCATAACAACAAAATTGATGTGTACAAAATTGATTATTTCCTCAGGTATACAGAGTCAGTAATTTATCCATCTCCACTTGGATTAAAATCTCCAGCAATTAACTCAATGGCCACAATGCCAAATTATTACAAGTAATTGCACATGCTGTACGTGTTGGAGAACATTGACTTCCTTATACAAGTCAGATCCAAAAAATTTCCCAATTTTCAGTCAACAGAAATAAAGTATTTCAGCTGTAGGTGGGAAGTATGGGCTGCAGCCCCTCTCGAGTGAACCCTCAAGGAAATGAGGCCATGACTCCGCGACCCATGCCCGCAGACAAGAAGGCTAATGGACATGCCAAGAATGGACAAGTGAAAAAGATGAAGATGGACTCCAATGCTAATCAGAAGGATGTGAATACTAATAATCCAGGTAAATATTAGATTCTTAGCTTATATGGATATGCATTAAGGAAAAAAAATAGATTAACTGGATGATTATAATTATAAATTTATCTCTGTCATATGATAACTTTTTTTTATCATGGATGTGTGACTACCTCAGAAAACTTATGACTAATAAACTAAACAATCAGTCTTAGGCAACACTCCTTATTTAAGCAATCTTAGATGAAAAAAGTTATCTACATAACTTTAAATGTGTATATTACTGTTCCATGCCGATCTTTGCTTGAGCAAGACTACTGTATACATGTTTTATAAACAGAGGAAGAATACCTTTTTTTCTTTTTGTGCAAGTACTGTTTAATTTATTTTGAGGTCGCCTGACTAGTTAGTCACACTTTCCATTTAAAGTATTGACATTAAGTTGATTGGAAGTAAAACCCAATCCTTTCTGGAGTTTCAGTTTACCTACCTCCCAGATAAAATTCACAAAAGTACATAACTGTAATATATATCTGTCAAACATGAAGCGTGTTTGATCTAGACTATGATTTTTTAAAATTAATTTTATTTATAAATTAAAATATTTACACTACCTGTAGTTAAAACTGTATAAAAGAGGGACCTAGCCTGAACTTCATATTCTTGCTGTTATTTAATAGCTATATATAATTTATATACATTTAGCATCCAACAGTGATATAATTATGTCATATATTTAATGCTTGTCAATTACCAGTGTTGTCATATGGATTTGGGTCTTGAGTTGCAACTAATTTAAGAACCCTCTCTACACTGCACACTAAAGAGTTCTGATTCTATGGTATTTTTCTGCAGTTAGAGTGATCTGCCCTTAGATCTAAATTCCAATAGATAGAAATTTACAGCATATTACTCAATTTGTAATCAATTCAAGTATTCTTAACATTTTAAAAGGCCAAGATAAATTAATTGAACATATTATTTACATGTATGTTCTCCATGGAAATAAACAACAGTGATTTCTGTTCACTGATACTGTGTTGTGTTTGAACATTTTTCCTGGGGGTAAATGCCACGCACCATATATTGAAAATTAAATAGATAAGCTCAATATTTACACCTTTATTCAGTGTAATTTTCTCAATGTCCCAAAAACATTCTGCACTGGTGTAGAGAGGGTCCTTAATTTGATATATCTGATATACAGGTTTAATTTACATAATGCACTTGATTCTTTATTGGTGAAATAAGTACAAACTTGGTGATAGGCAATATATATCCTTCAAACTAGAAAAGGATTCAACATAAAAACCAGAGGGAATCCATAATATGTATGTACCCCCCCCCCCCCCCCCCCAAAAAAAAGGGGGGTTAATATAAAGGACCACCCTCAGTTTACCTAAAACAGTCATTTCTACACCTAACATAACAAGTGGATGTAAATGTTTATTCTGCAAATTGGCACATGTTTATAGTACAAAATTAGGGATTAGAAATTTGGCAGGTGTTTAAAAAGAGCACTCAGCAGAAGTCAGCATTGTTATCAAAACTTGGATGATTGTTTAGTTAGGAAGAGGGCTGATGATGCATAAATTTGCATAGATTGTAAAATTTCGGAGGCACTATATTATAAGGAATGGGCAAGGACTATATTTGTAGTATGAATAGTTAGATACTGAAAAATGAGTGCATGTCTGGTTGAAATTTAAAAAAAAAAAAAAAAAAAAGTAGACTTTGTCTAGTGGAAATGGATTGCAAAATCATTGCTCATTCAGTAGAATGAAACACAACAACAACAATAAAGAAGCAGACAAAATAACATGTATAGTTGCAAATATAAGGCATCAACACCATCCAAATATTAACTTGTACATAATGTATGAAATGCTAGATTACTATACCTGTTATTGGAATCTGCATACACTGTACATGGAAGAAAATATTAAAAATAATATAATTGTGACATTTACCAGCTGACATATATAACTGTTTTCAATATAATTGTCTGCTCAAATTCTAACTCAGTATTTGTAAATTTACAGACGTATGCTGTCCTTTTGAAAACTCAATAAAATCTGCTCTTATGATGTGTGAAATCAACTTGGTATTTAATATCTACACTATCTTTCATGGAATTCCTAAACACACCAATGTAAACTTTTTATTGTGGTTATTTTTATGCCCCCGGATCGAAAGATCCCGGGGGTATATTGTTTTTGTCCTGTCTGTCTGTTTGTCTGTTTGTTTGTCTGTTTGTCTGTCTGTCTGTTGTCAACTTTAACCTTGCCCATAACTTTTGATTGGTTGGAGCTATGACTTTCATATTTCACATGTGTATTCCTTGTGACAAGACCTTTCTTTGGGTACCATCATATTTGACCTTTTGACCTTGACCTTGGAGTTTGACCCACTTTTGCAAAATTTTATGAGACTTTAACCTTGGCCATAACTTCTGAACAGTTGGAGCTTGGGGTTTCAAACTTCACATGTATATTCTTTGTGACAAGGCCTTCTTTTGGATACCAACCACTTTGACCTTTTGACCTTGACCTTGGACTTTGACCTACTTTTGAAAAACTTTAACCTTGGCCATAACTTTTGAGCAGTTGGTGCTTAGGGTTTCAAACTTCACATGTGTATTCCTTGTGACAAGACCTTCCTCTGGATATCAACCACTTTGACCCTTTTGACCTTGACCTAGGAGTTTGACCTACTTTTGAAAAACTTTAACCTTGGCCATAACTTTTGAATGGTTGGAGCTAGGGCTTTCATACTTCACAGGTGTAATCCTTGTGACAAGACCTTCCTTTGGATACCAACCACTTTGACCCTTTGACCTTGACCTAGGAGTTTGACCTACTTTTGAAAAACTTTAACCTTGGCCATAACTTTTGAATGGTTGGTGCTAGGGCTTTCATACTTCACATATGTAATCCTTGTGACGAGATCTTCCTTTGGATTCCAACCACTTTGACCTTGACCTTGACGTTTGACTTTTATTTAAAAAACTTTAACCTTCACCATAACTTTTAAACAGTTGTATCTAGGTCTTTCAAATTTCACAGGTGTTTTCCTCGAGACAAGATCTTTCTTTGGGTATCAACATTTTTTATCTTTTGGCCTGGATTTTGACTTGCATTTGAGAAACTTTAACCTTCGACATAAGCTGCCGTACGGGGGCATAGTGTTTCACAAACACATCTTGTTTTCTATTGCTTTTAAGACGAAGAAATGAGGAGAGGCTTGGGAGTTGAGAGGAGCTTGGGAGACACCCAATTTGCGGTGTTATTCATTTATGGATTTAAATCATTGTTCTTAAATTGGAAGGGAAACACATTTTATCCAGTTCAAGACCAAAAACAAATAAGCATTGATTTTCTTTGAAAGTGGGAAAAATAAATTAAATATTCATGTTAAAAGGATTAGGAAAGATTTTTTTCAGGTTCATTTAATTGATTTGAATTCAAGAATTAACTTGAAGAAAAACTAAATTTATTCCTGAATTTTATTTTTCAACGATTTGATCCTTAGAACAGGATCAAGTCTGAGTTGCAGAAATTGCCTGTTTAACAGTTAAATTTCATGAACTTATTGTACTTGTAAGATTAAAAAAATAATGACCCCCCCCCCCCCCAAAAAAAAAAACCACACACACACACACAAACAAAAACCAAAAAACAAAACAAATACATCCTTAAATCTGATTTTATTTTCATTTTTGACAGATGTGTGTTTTAATCTAACTAGTTTCATGAAAATAAAAATCAGTTTTATATAAATGCTAGATATTTTTATTTTGAACAATTATTAAAAAAGTAAAGAAAAAAAAATCATGTTTAACACTTTGTTTATTAAGATGTTCATGACTGCATATTGTATGCCTTGATATATTTAGTCCAGTGTTTCTTGCATGATATACTGTGGTATATATATTCCCGTCTCCTTTTATGATGAAAATCGATGAGGCATTAATTTAATGAGCTTTCAGGAGAGACACTACAATTCATTATTAATTGCCCCCATTTCCCTTACCTCTTTGTAACCCTCCAAGGAACTCCTTTCTATAAATAATTGACAAGGGTTTTACACTCTGTAGATCTTTGTACCACTTTATGATATTCCCACACAATAGAGGTATTATGGAAATCCTTCCCTAATTCTTTGCACACCATTGCTGAGGATGGATATACGGTCAGTCATGGTTACACTTCATCTCTCTGTGGTGATGTAAATGAAAACTGACCAGGGAAACTAATTAAAATGTAATCAAATGACCTCTGAGGAAATTCCTATTCTAAAGGCCATGATATGCATCCATTTTATGAGGCATTAAAGAAATAATAGTTTCTTTTTAGCTCATTAGAGCCAATTCAAGGCCAATTGCTCTTTTCTTAACAATCTTTGTATTGTTAAATTATTTACACTTAATTATTTACACATTGATTAATAAACTTTTCAGAACTCAAAGCATTCTTAGATGATGGGGAGTCTAGTTCAAATGAAGGGCCTGCACTTCTTTTTTTCATGAGGATATGATTAAGAAATGATGGAGGATGTGGTTATTTAAAAATTTTCTCCTCAAGAATCACTAAACCCAAAAAGACAAATTTTATGTGAGACCTTCATTACCTTTTGCAGATTAAAATTTATTAAAACTATATATGATCTCAAGGACTAGAATGAGTCCAAAACAGGGGGTAAAATTTTACATGGGAGTGATGGAACTAATATATATTAAACACTCTTTTAAAAATATTCTCAAGAAACTTAAAGCCACAGTTAATTTACTAGGTGAGCTAGGCTACAACAAATGTGAAATGTTACAAAGAAATGAGGTGAACTCCTGCAAAAAAAAAAAAAAAACAAGACTAATTTGTAAACATGACATGAATATAAATTTATTGTAATAGACTTTATTGCAACTGTGGAATTTAATTTGAAGGTTACAAGGGGTTTCAGTTATGTAATATTTATAAGTCATATCAGGTACAGAAAAATGAGTCAGGGACCATGGGTCTCTTGTTTATGTAAGCAAGGAATTTTTTTTTTCATTGCATCATGGTGTAATGAATAATGAGATATACATAAATATTAAATAACATGCTAAACATACATTTGTACATACACCTTGATGATTTATGAAATGGCATGCATGTGCAGTGTAAAATAAACAATGATTTATTGTTTTATAAATGAATTTACATTTTTTATGTTTATAATTACGTTTTTTTACCACGTGATAGTTGAAATTCTTTTTTAATCTGTTCTGACAATCATACTACCAGTGCATCATTGTGTCTTAATTACTTTGTGCTTCATGGAGATGCTATGCAAGTTGTTTGTAGGATTTTTTTTTAAAGGAAAAGAATGAGGGGAAAATATATATAAACATTTATCCATCTAATGTCTTTGAAGAAAATGGAGTATCATGTCAATGCACATATAAGTAATCTCTGCCCCTTGTTCATATAGCTAATTATATATTCTTTGCACATGCTTCAAGTTTGAACAGACAATTGACGGCTGGAATCCATATTACTTTCTATTTTATTTTAAGACCTTAGAACATATACCATAAGTATAAAGGGAAGATTGAATTGTCTGTCCAGTGTGAAAGTCTCTTTCAATAATTATTTCACATACTTGGAGAACCAAAGTTTTCTCATTAGTCTTTGATTTAAACAGATCAATATATTTTAAATAATATGAAAAGAAAACAGAACATTTTTTTCTGTGTTCAGATCATGTTGAATTTATTTTAATCTGTCCTGCTTATGAAATTATCACAAAAATACATTTAATATTATTATATAAATACTGGAAAACACCTTCAGTGTTTAAATTAATTGTTACAACATTTTAATACATGTATTGAAAGTGTGAAAGAATTAATTATGCAATTTAGGTAAATTTATCTACAGTATGATGTGGCATGAAAACTTAAAAAGAACATATGTCAAATTTATTGCATATATCATATTTACACTTTTACTACATTCAAATTTCTCTTGTATTTTATTTAACCTCAGTTACATATGTACTACTTGTATCAGTATATTAATTTGTTTGTATTTACTTGTACTGATGAGCTATAAAGCTCAAAGTTAATAAAAAAAACTGAACTTGGTATATTTCTCTTACAGTTCCCAAAGCTGTGGCATTTCAAGTGACCCTGGATGGAGAGCAGACAGAAAGCCTTATATCAAAACATCCACCTATAAAACTCAAGGTAAAGCTGTGAAACCAGAGGTCCTAATAGCTTGATACAATGCATCTTTTCAAGCCTTACATAAGAAGCTCAGAAGTTACTGTGAAATCACTTTTTTTCATGGGGGTTTAATTTTCATTGTTTTCGTGGTTTGAAGAGACCCATGAATTAAAGTCCTTCACGAAATGTTAAATTTCAAATGTATAAAAATTCAACACAATTCTTCAACCACAAAAATCCAATTACTACAAACCAAAATATTTTTGTTAAACCATATAAATTTGACTCCAGGAAAATAAGTGATGTTACAGGAGTACATTGTGAATGTGATAAAATTGTGGCACACACAAACTTGAATCAAAATGGAGGCTTTGATCACTGCTCTGTGTTTAATACATGCAGATTCAAACATAATCTACTCACAATCCTATCTTACTTTCTAAAGTCACCAAGTAAGGAAGGAGAGGGGATGGAGTCATTCAAGAATTATTCATCATTAATATTTGTAATAAATTCAAGGTTATTTTCCTCAAGTCAGAAAGAGGTGAAAATCCCCAGTCTGTATTCTATATGAAAGATTCCTGCTAGTATTAATAGTTGTTTTTTTAGTTCACCTGAGCCATAAGTGAGCTTTTCCCTTGAAGTTTTTCTACCACCCATTTGTCTGGCATCTGTCAATTAACTTTTCAGATTTTCAGCTTCTCCAACAAAAATATGGGGCCAAATTTACCAAACTGGAAACAAATAAAGCATCTTATAGTAAAGGAAATCCATATTTTTTTTAAATGAATTAAGGGCCATGACAAGTTGACACCCACTTCAAGTGGAGATAAATAAGTAGACTTCTCAAGAACTTCTGGGTCAGAAAAGACAAAAATCAATAGAAAATTCTTATATTGTATATGGTAGATTTTTTTTTGGTCACATCAAGGCCTCTGTGACTGAAATGTGGCCAAATGAACTAAAGAAAACTTTCTTATAATTTTTCTTTACATATAACAATGTAATATTACACCCCCCCCCCCCCCCCCCCCCATGAAGTCAAAGTTTTACATTGTAACATGGAAGGAAAAATGTTTAGTCTTCTCCTCAAGAATCGAAGGGCCACAATTAGTCATGCATATATTAATATACAAAGATCCACATGTAGTGTAGTTCAAGTTAGTTCAAATTATGAAGTTATAATTTCATGTCTTCTACCAAGTTTAAGCAAAAGCCACATCATCAGTATTCCTAAGGGTGTTATTTATTTTTACTTGCAGAGACTAGCTCCCCTTAATGTTCCTACTCTGTCAGCTGAAGAATTGCTAGAAAAACAGAAAATAGCCGATGAAAAAAGAGAAAAGGTATGTTGGACTGAGAACCTTCTCATAGATTTATAGAGTTATGGCCCCTGAAATAGCAATTTTGCAGAGTAGGTGGTTAGAAGATGGAATCTTCAAATTTCAGGGTTTTTTGAAGTAACTAGATTATAGAATTACAATGGACTTGCTGTAATACATATTTTCATGGAATATATGAAAGCTATTACAGTTGATGACATAATATTCATCCAGAATGAAAACAGGTGCTGTTAATTTATAAATGCGGAAGATTAAAAAAAAACCTGTTTCTTGATGACTTCACCATACAGTTATCAATATTTATCAGACATTTCTTAGTTCAGCACAAAAATACCATTCAAATGTACAAAAGTAAATTATATCATTATTCAGAAATAACTATTGTCAGAGACTGTTTTCATAAATTTGATATTGAATTTCAATCAATAGCAAGAATTAAGGTATTTTAAAAGACAGTTTCTTTTCAAATAAACAATGTCCAGTACCAATGCCTTTTCTATCCCAGTGTAAAATTCAATTCCTAATGTGTGTCAAATATACAGGTTTTACTGTATTTATGTTGTTTGGGTTGAGTAGGAGCTGCAGAGGAAAAGAAGTGCCTCCAAGAAATCTTCTCGCAGGCGACGAGAGCTGTTACAGGCAAAAGAATTCGTGGAGAAACAGCAGATGGAAAAGGAAAAAAACAAAGTTTGTATTCTTTTTTTTTTACTCTTTACCAATAAAATTGAATTTTAAATTGATAGATATACATGAGTAAGTTTTCCTATATAAACTCCCAAAATTTTAGAATTGGGAGCATAATGTGTTTGTCTGCCCACAAAGAACAAGGAAGGTTTAAAGGCTTCTTTGTTGTCATATACAGTCAACCTCATTTATATCTCAACTCAATGGAACCAAGAAAAAACTTAAAGATATCTGAGGGTTCAAGATATTGAGGGTAAAATACTCGGGCCCTCAATGAGAAAATTATAATGTATTATAGGATTATATTGGAATGACATAATATTGAACACTCTAGGACAGGTGCTGATAGTGCTCACTTTTACTGAAGATACCAGTATTAAACAATTCTTATCAAATGGAGTTAATGTAACTATATATATATATATATATATATATATATATATATATATATATATATATATATATATATATATATATATATATATTTAAAAATGCATATGCTTCTCTCACTGTGTATACAGATTGATACATCCATGAAGACAGCAGAGATGTTAAGAGAAGCAAAGTTACAAGAAGTAAGAGAGAGACAGCGACTTCGGGAGGAGCGGGCTCGCCGGGCTAGGGAGAGGGTAGGTATCAGAGGAGGGATTGTTTGCTGTTACAGTAAAGCATGTTTTTAGTGAACTTGGATATAGCAAATTCATGCTTACATCATACTAATATTTTCCATCCCATGCTAGAAAATAATAAATAATCAACTGAATATAGCAAATAATTAATGTAATAAAGCAAATTCACTATCATTGGTGTTTTACTGTGTATGTTTTAGCTTTGCTGAAGGAAATAAAAACTTGTTTTTGGTTAGTGTCCATTTTCCTTTTGTCTGCATAATATCTGCAAGCACCTGCATTTGAACATTATATATGATTACTGGTACCAATATTGTTACGAAAACTAATTCTGCTCATATAAATTATTGCTAAAATAATCAGATATTTTTAATGTATTGAAAAAAATGGTTTTCACCTTTGCAGCATAAGAAGATGGCCAATGCAGAACAAGAGGATATAGGGACAATGGAAGTGGAAAGGGATGGCCATTTTAATGCAGATGATAGTATGTGTTATAATAAATCCATCTCATTGCACTGGTTATACCACATGTTTGAACAAATTAGTTTTAATACACCTCATGTACTTAGTTTTAGTTTTGTTATATTACCAATCATTTGAGTGCGTGGGTTGTGAAGGGATTTAACTTAAAGCTTTACTAATCAATGGACAGTTCTAAGAGCTTGTGCATTGTTGGTATTAAATCCAGAATCATCCATTGGCCTTTTTGTTTTTCAGTATATTACACCACCTACATCTGTTCTTCAAAAGGTGTCATAATTTGCAAATGACGACATAATAGTGTTGTTATTTATTATCAAATTTTTATGCACATTAGTTTACTTGCAATTAACTGTCTTGTGAATACATTATAAGTCACATAAATTTGCTGTGCATAATTTGATGTGAAGTAAACTTTAATGTGTATTCATGTGAACAGGACATTAAACTACACGAATAGAGACATATTGCTTTTTATATGCAACAAGAATTTTTAGTTATACATGTAACAATTTCTGCAACAAGTTCATTTTTTTATTTGAAGAAAATTAACAAAGAATTAAGCAGGTAGGATAAATAGAGTTTTCTGTAATTGTCACCTCTCTAGTGTAAAGCATCTGTGCGACCATTTCATACATGTATGACCACAAAGTGTCGTCCATCTGCATGTTGTTTTGAAGTGTATTCACAGTTTTGGTGATAGCCCCTGAATATTTTCATTTGTTAATATGAACATAAATCACTTTTTTCTATGCATTTTTAAAATTACTTCATCTTTTAGGATTTTGCACATCAAAGCATGTTTGTTAATCAAATTTATTTCAAGTGTTCCTTGCATTATACATAGAACTTTTTGTAGCATGCATACTTCCCATCCTTAGATGATTAAAAAAGTATATATATTCATATAAAAATAGTAATCTACAAGTCTTCAAATGGGTTCACCTGAACCCAATGCTTAAATCTTTTTTAGCTCACCTTAGCTGAAAGCTCAAATGAGCTTTTCTGATAACAAAAGAATGGGTGGACTTAAGTGTCCAGAAAAAATGCGGTAAATTAAAGTCATATAAAATGTTTAATTCTTTCTATCATATAGATACCCGGTATCTTAACCGTGTATTCTTGGTACAGATATGAATTTAAAACGCTCTTTTCGAGAAAAACAAAATAAATATCAAAGGCATGGGGACTGAAGATTTCTTGAATATCAACACATAATCAGGGTCACGCATTTTTCATCGTCTGAATACATAGTCAGCGCATGTTTGTCGGCTGTTCTTAAGAAAACTGTAGTTGTATATTGAACAAAATAATTTCATATTAAAAGGAGAATGGCCGACAAACGTGCGCTCATACTCAATTTTACAAAAAACATGTTCAAAACGAACTTCTCGCTTCCATTGTTATGACTGCGTTAACCTTGATTTGACTTCGATTGACCTGTTGAATATTACAATTCATCAAGTGATGTCAACCTGCGAGTGTATTTGTGAAAACAGTTACATTGTATTCTTCAACCTGACCTCGATCTGAATCACGTCTTGGAGCGTGTTTGGACGCAATATTTTCAGAATTTAGCAAATTAAATGTTAACATAACTTTGCGTGTCCTCACATTTTTTTAAATTTCATATTGACATTGCTGTAATTTACCATACAAATATTCGAATTTCTAAAGAGAGAGAGAGAAGAAGAGAGAGATGTCGACACTGACGACGATCGATAGCCCTGCCTTCTATTAATATTGATTATGTGACCTAAAAACCACTCCGGGTACATGTCAAATTCCGGACGGCAACACCAATGTATCGTTGCTTCAATTTTGATTCATAGGAACAAGGCATTGCTTTCATACAAATTTTCTACCTAATAAAATCATGTATACGTAGCTCTTTCTATTCCTTGTAAAATATTTTGGATTCACTTCATTTACAGCTTGGTAGAGAAATTGCAAAAAGATCCAAAACAGGGCGTTAAGTCCACTCATTCTTTGCTACAAAGCATCCCTTGGTAAAGGGGATTCTAAATTATCAAAATGAAAGGCCAAGCCCCCTTCCAAGGAGAGATATTTTCTCAAGAACCACTAGGCCAGAAAAGAAGCTTAAATCTATATGGAAGCTTCCTGTAGATATCATGACCCCCTGGAGGGGGGAGGGGATAAGGGTATGGCCACAATAGGGAATCAAAGTTTTACATTGAAATACATAGGAAAAATCTTTGATAATCTGCTCAAGAACATATCTTACTGTGTAAATATTATGCAAATGGTTTGAACACAAGTTCTAACAACTAATGAGGTTATCACCAGAGATGGTTACAACTGTCCATGTCTATAGGGAAAAAAACTTTGATATACAAACAGGTTTGTTTATATACATACATTCATTACATGTTAAATATATAACTTATTAGAGTTCTAGTGTTAGGCATAAGAACCACTAAAGCTTAAATTATGTGGAAGATAAAAAAAAAAATCCTGAGGTAGATTGTAAATTGTTCAAATCATATGTTCCCTGGAGGGTAGGATGGGGCCACAATAGAGAATCAAAATTTTACATTGAAATATATAGGAGAATTCTGTAAAAAGCCTCTCAAGAACTGCTGGGCCAGAAAAGATGATAGCTTCCTGAGGTGTGTATTTTGTAAATTGTTCAGATCATGGCCCCCAGGGTTGGGGTGAGACAACAATAGGGAATCAAAGTTTTACATTGAAATGTATAAGAAAAAAATTTAAAATCTTCTTTAGAACCACTGCGCGGGTATGTTAAGGAAGCATACAAATCATTTCTCGGGAAATTTAGACTTTTTGAAGAAAATTTTGATTAATAATTCATCAAAGTCTCCGATAAAACATAAACTATTATTAACTATTACATAAAGACACGGAGTGTCCAAGGCCAAGTAGTGCACCACCCCGACGTCATCACGTGACCGCTATTAATAGCAAAATATTCCTTAATGAAAAACTTCACAGAACAACACTACCCCGGGGTTAAATAATTTCTTTGAGTAAATAGCATAGTTGAAAAACATCTCTTATGCCTAAAAAGTGTTGCAAGAATCCCACTGTCCGATCGGGGAAATAATTATTCCACATATATGTAGAAACCTTACCCGATGTTTTGCATTTTATGCATATAACCCGAGATATTTCTATAAACCATGTTTACTTCACGATTCTAGCAGCACTTTCCAAGTATTATAGAACACAAGCTTTCGATATGTACAAATCTTATGTTTTTAAGTATCCAGCTTAGTGTTGTTCTTTTGCATTATTGTTGTCACGAATGACAGAGGAAAGGCCAACCGGGATACGTAAATAGCTGACTGTCTTCAATAGAAGATATAATCGATGAAAATAAATCAACATACCTGTTTAACATACTTTAACTTCACATGAAAAACACACAATATTCACGGTATTTGCTTCTAAACCTCCTTTTACGTATCTTTTTACATGCCGTTTTGGCCAAATTCTCGTTACACAACATGATCGATTCTCAAGTTCCTTGTTGAACAGTTATGACGTCATTGGTCGGAGATTATAATTCATTGCAAATTTCTATTCATTTTCAGGAGTCAAATTATATCTCTAAATAGCAATATTAGGAAGACTTGTGTTCTAAACTTGACGTCATCTCGCCTACTATGACGTCATATTGTATCACTGATTTAGTCAAGTCAGATTATCTTAGTGCTTCCTTAACACACCTGCGTGGGACAGAAAAGCTCAAACTTATATGAAAGCTTCTTAAGGTTGTGTACATATCATAACCCCTGGCATTGTCCTGGTAAAACTTTTAGGAGCAAGTCCATTCCCAAGTGATGTAATCAAAATGAGCTGTTAGATCCATTTGCATACTCCATACATTAGACTAATCCCTAAGTAAATATAAGCTTTACCTTGACTAAACTTGCTTGGATGATGCATTTTGGGTTTTACACTACCAAACTTGCATAAGATGCTGGATCTGACTTCCATTTTCCAGATGATTGAACAGTGAAAATTTTTGGAGCAGGTTCATTCACAAGTCACTATAAATCCTACCAATACCAAACTTATATAGGTGTTGCTTTTAGGGATGCACACTACCAGAACAATTGTTTGGTGTGAAGCTTTGTCATACTTGTAGATTACATTCGTCCGGGTGATCGAGCTTTGAAATCATTTATTTCACTATGTTTTGATTTAGGTTTGTCCATTGTACGTCATTGGTAATATCTAACTTTTCACATTTTTGACTTTTTCTCCAAATCCTCTATGCCAGTCTTGAGCAAACTTGGTACAAAGCATCCTTGTCAAGGAATTGTTTTTTTCAACATGAAGGATTTTTTTGGTTTTAGTTCAACTGAACCAAATGCTCAAGTGAGCTATTCTGATATAGGCTTTTCCATTGTCTGTCATCTTTTGTCTAACTTTTCACATTTTTGATTTCTACTTTGAAACCTTGGGATCAATTTATAGCAATCTTGGTACAAAGTAATTTATCCTTGGTTAAAGGAGATTCAATTTGTCAAAATAAAGGACCATGCCCCTATTGAGGAGGAGATAGTCAATAAATAAAATTATGGTGGGATCACTAAAAAAAAATCTCAACAAAATATTTTTTTAATTTCTTTTTATATCTTCCTTGTACATGTATTATGTCAAATTTCTTCAATATTTGGCACCCATAGGTAAGGTTGGGCCTATAATACAGAGGGGATCAGAGTTTGGGACTACAAATAGTCTTTCTATATTCAGACATCCCCATGTTTAAGATTCAAAATTATTCAATTCTAGGTGCCTTGGGCTAGGGTGGTGCAACAATTGAATATAGTCAGATTTTGACATCGGAGCTACTAAATAAGGGATTTCATTTAGATGACTCAGGTTTTAGTATATTATAAAGTTTGAAAGCATTTGTGAAAGAAACTTTATATATGCATGCATGTATTTTGTTGGATACAGATGCAGTACATGTATTGTGTAAATTCTTTGTAATCTTATACTTTACAAGTGGTGGTGTTTTAGAATCTAATGTAAGTTTGTCTCAATTCAGATGATTCTTGGCTAGATGATGGAAAAGATGGTTCTGAGGAAGACTTTGTATCAGGAACAGGGGAGAGAATTTATTCAGGCAATGTTGGACCCGAGGAAAGCCGAACAGGCACAAACAGCACAGGAAAGTCAAACCATGATGCTGATTTGTCTCGCAAACCACCAAGTGCTTCATCACACCTAGCTAACGGAAAACAAGACGATTTCTTTGACTCTTGACAAAAAATAGTTTATAACTTAGATCTTTATTAGTTTTACACTTAAGAAAAAAAATTGATGCTAAGTTTTAAGTTTGTTAATTTTAAACCATTTTGATGCAAATGTCAGTAAAACAAAATTACTCAAAATGGCTGTTATTTAGGTAATTCATATAGAGTAGATGTATTTAAATCCCAAACTTGTATTTTATTCCAGACTCACTGATATGTTGAATTTTTTTCAATAATTTTGTTTATTTATTACCTCTTGCAATTTTATTACTTTCAAATGAATCCCATAACAATTCTATACCATCTCTGTTATTTAGTTATATAGTGTAATCCTTATAAAGTTCTAGTTATAAACTGGTGCTGATGTTTTTTTTGTTTTGTTTTTCTTTTTTTTTTTTAATACATATTTAAGACTTGAATATCTGAACTATCTATTCCTTAAAAAAAAAATAAATCTGCTTTGTTTTTTGTTAAAATGTATTTTTCAAGATATAAGTTAGAAAGTCCTATTTCAATTAATTAAAACTGGGGGATAAAACAAATTATATATTATGTATATACCTCTGTCATTTGTTTTAGTTCATTTCAAGGTAGTTTTCATTGAAAGAATTTTTACCAATTATAAAATAAAATTGATATATTGTATGATTTCTTTTTTAAAGAATGATATTTTACCCTCAATAATACATGTACCTCAGAATTATTAATATGTATTTATTTAACTCGGTTATCTCTAAAATCCATGTTATCTTGCCCATGTAATAGTTTTTATATTATGTACTCAGCATGTATGGGTGGATCAACTGTGGAGGTGGTGTAAGAACTTTCCGTAAAATGTTCAGTTCATTGAATTGAATAAATTCAGTGTACTGAATAGTTAAAGAAGTGTAAAAATGACTCTTGACATACTCGCACCCTTTTCAAATATATTATAGAGATGCAGAAGATTCGGTCAGACCCAGAATGCTTAATACACCCCTGACATTATGTCCATAATATGTCATATGCAGTACAAAAAAGAACTACCATTATTTTTGGCCTGATACTTTTCAAGTAAATTATTTGTATAACATTAGCATAATTCTATATTTTCCCCAATTTTTCCAAATGAAGCTGTGTTTGTATTCAAGAAATGAGATCATGTCACAATTTTGTCTGATTTATCTACTGGTATATTGGAAAGATTTCAAATCAAGTCATCAATAGAATAACTTCTGATTACCAATAATTTTTAGTCTTGTCTGAATAATTATTTTACATACTTTATAAATCAGATTTTATGTTTGTGCATTTATATCAAAATTGTCTCTTAAATATCAAACATATTCTATGAAAATTAATTTCATATATTTAGTATATATGCATGGTCAATCAAAACTGAAAATAGAATATTTAAATACATTAATCAGAATGTATTTCTAACATAAATAATATACTGTAAAACTCTGTATGTCCATTGTTCAACTACATGTAGTTGTTACTGCATACATGCATCTATGTCATACATTTTACAACTCTGTAAGGGATGGTATAATAATACAGCTCAATGCAATGACTACCTTATACATTATGTACTAAGTATTATTTGGCAAATTGGTGTTTTTTGTAGTTAATTAATTTTAGTGTTTCAAACCAGGAGTAGAGTTGCAGTCTCATTAAAGATTTAATATATTTTTTGAGAGTGAAATATTGTACTGTTTGTACTGTTTACTGTTTTTATTTTTAACAAATATTCAAATTATTTTATGCTATAATGTACAGTAAATTTAGTATTCTGTATGTCCATGAGAATATCAACACTAGAAACATTGAGATGGGTATATAGTTTACAAGTGTTTTCATTATTTTACTGTTAAATATTTTTATTGTAAAATATTGATGAAGAGAACTTGTCATAATGAATTAAAGTTTAAATAATTTATTTCTTTACCTTGAACATGATGAAAATTTATTTCTATGATGTTTGCAAAGAGGCATAATTTTCAGTTAAAGAATTCTTTTAAATATTGTTTTTCCTAATTTTATAAAAATTTTAAAACGTCATTATTTATTACATTTAAAATTCATGGGTTTTATTTCAGTAGGTAGGATCAAATAAGATTTAATTTGATTAATTAATTTGTTCAGTTTGTTGATAGTTGAGAAGTAAAATTGTCAGTATTATACTTGTGTGTTAAAACTATCGCGGGATTTAACTTATCCGTCCATTTGTACCTGCTGATCTCAGTCAAGTTTTGTTGAAATGTTCAATGTTAGAACATATTAACTGTGCAATATGTGCACTGTTAATTCACACCTCTTACAATTGAGTGCTGTATTATACATTTTTGTGAATGGATGTTGTGTTCTTTAATTAATTACTATGGATATCAGATTTATGATATTTGTAAAGAATTTTTAAGAAGAAATGTATGTCACTTAAAGACAGCTATAGAGGTGTAATCTAAATGTGACTGATAAAGATTAGATGTTCTGGTGTTTTTACAGTTTATCAATTAGTGTACCCGGTAAACAAAAATTACTATTTTTTTTTATCTCTTTGGATGTTGGAGAAAATGGATTTACTAAATAACAAAAAACAGCAGTTTTAATTGCTATTAATACATACTTGTATATCTTGATTTGCAATTAAGTCATTAAACACTTACATGCAAGAGTGTCTGTAAAATTTTCAGGATATATACCAATCAAAACAATTTTAAAGAGACACTTTTTGATTTAAATCTTGCTGTTATTGAAGGGAATTATATATTTAACAGTTATAGGTATCAGCTTTGGGAGAAATACTTATCAGGTTTTGCTATAAAGAGTTTGGTTTAATTTGTATATTTCAACACGTCGATCAGTATCCAATCATTGGGAAAGTTTTGATTCACATAAAATTCTGAATGATCTTTCATATGAGCATTAGAGATTCTCTGTGCATTCATGTACATAGCTTCATCATGACTTTTGAAATACAAAATCAAATTATTGCAAACAAGTCTTAGATCTACCCCACTGTTCAGAAGGGCTGCACTGTCTGCTGTGTGACTGCGATAAGATACCACTCCTTGCAAAGAATTAAAGCACTGATGTTCAATGTACATAGTAGATGTTTATCCTTTAGTGTTTTATTTAAATATGTAGTATATCAGTTTGTTTATTGTTATGTTCAATAATATATAAATATATTTAAACTGTGATAACATGTCACAATCAATGATGATATGCTAGGATTTTTACAGAGTTTTAAATTATTTATGAATTATTGTTAATTTCACACTGATTAATAAAACAAAAATGAAGACATATATCTCATTTTTCTTTTTTTTTATACCCCCGCTCGGAAGGAGAGGGTGGTATACTGTTTTACCTTGTATACTGTGTGTCTGTCTGTCCGTCCAGCTGTCTGTGTGTCTGTCTATAACAAATTTTGGTCGCAGTTTTCTCAGCAACTACTCACTGCAGATGCTTGAAATTTTAGCACACTCTTTGTTTAGGCATGCCATATGGTGGGATTCATTTCTGCATGAATCCCACCATATGGCAACTTCCTGTTTATCTGTCCAAACCATACATAACAAATTTTGGTCACAATTTTCTCAGCAACTACTCATCGCAGATGCTTGAAATTTTAGCACACTCGTTTTTAGGTCACCTGAGTTACTCAGGTGACCTATTGCTATCCGTATTTGTCCGTCATCGTGTGTTAACATTTGAACATTTTTAGCTTCTTCTCTGAAACTGCTTGACCAATTTCAACCAAATTTACCATATAGCATCTATGGCTGAAGGAGAACAAAAATTGTGAATTTCATGGTCCCTGCCCTCTGGGACCTGAGTGATGGGGCTAAAACCGCCAAAATTAATGCAATCTTTAAAAATCTTCTTCTTTACTCCTGGACATCAAGCAGTCAAACTGTTGGCATGATTGTAATAAGCATTGAGCCCTCTACCAAAATTGTGAATTTCATGGCCCCTGGGTCAGGGGTTCTGGTTTTAGGGTGGGGCTCTATTGATATATGTAGTGAAAATGCATTAATTCTTTGAAAATCTTCTTCTCTCTCCTAGATATAAAATAAACTAAGTACATAGTTATGATGAGCATGGCTGCCTCCTCAGGAATTGTGAATTTCTTGGCCCCTGGGTCAGGGGTTCTGGTGTTAGGGCGGGGCTCTATTGATTATATAGGGAAAATGCATAAATTCTTTCAAAATCTTCTCTGCTCCTGGGTATTATTCCAACAAAGGAAGTGCATGGTTATGAAAAGGAAGAATGCCTCTTCCAAAATTATGAAATTCATGGCCCCTGGGTCAGATTTCTGGTATAAGGGTGAGGCTTTATTTATTTAATAAAATAGTGAAAATGCATTTCTTGGAAAATCTTCTATGCTTCTGGGCATATTCGAGGCAAACAGAGTAAAAGTTTTAATATGCAAGGGTATTTTTACCAGAATTTTGAACACCTGGACCATTTAGTCAAGTGTTCTGGTCCTGGCAAGGGCTCTATTAACTTGTATTCTACTGAGGAAAGTTATTCCCCTTTGCCATTCACCTTTGATAATTAATCACTGTAAATAATGAAAGGTTAATAGAACAAGAGAATTGCAAGAATATTTATTGTATAATACAAAAAGTACTTTCATAGTTTAAATGATCAGGTAGACTTGTAAATAATAGATGAATAGAAATGAGACAAAAATAACTTATCTTTTTAAATGTTTTTCAAAGGCCAAGAGAGGCCAATGTGAGAAGTAAAAATATGGGGTTAAACATGCAATTTTCCTCAAAAGCCTGGATACCTGTAATTTTTCATTTTAAAATGTAATTGTTGATGGGAAATCAGATTTATTTTTTCGTAATTGATTATTGGAATAATCGGACGCAATATTATCAATTAATAATCGATTAATTACAAGTATTAAATTTGTTTATTTTTTAAATGAAGAGTACTGTAAACCAACTTTTATTCGCGTGCGAGAAATATCCACGAGTTTCGCGATCTACTTTTACTCACGAATATTAATCGCCACGAACCATTTCTTTTGCGTTTTCTCAGTCGCAAAAATTAATAATCGTCGTGAATTGATTTCAGACTGATCAATCGCGAATAAAAGATGACACGAATAATAGTTGGTTTACAGTAAATAAGTACAAAAATCCGAAATGATTTCTAAAATGCATTTTTGATATATTTTGGCATCATTGGATTCTTTAATGATATCATGATTTAGTTACTTTCAAAGGAAAATGAATCAAGAAATCATAGGAATAATTTACTTTGAGCTAATATTTTGATTAATCGATTATCAAA